TTCTGACCCAACTAGGAGATACAGCAAAGTTCCTCCATCTTTCTGCCTGGAATGTGGACTTGATGGCTGGAGTGCCAGCAGCCATAAAGCAAACTTGAGATGGAAACCAACTACTAAGTAAGGTAGAGCATAAAGTTAAAAAGAGCCTGGGTCCTAATAACTGTGAAGCTGCTATATCAGCCCTGGAGAGCCACCCTCTGGCTTCTTTTACATGCCAATAAATAAATGTCACATTTAAACTACGTATTTGTTTCGTTGTTGTAATATGCAGCTGAACCTAATCCTAACTGATACACTTACCTGTGTCAAGGCCCAGAAGTGAGAGAGCACGTGACATATTCCTCAATCTGCAAATGGTTCCAAGTGGATGGAGCTCAATAAAGTGTGTGACAGAGGAGGGGCTGTGTGAAAGAGGGGTGGGGCTAGCAAGGGAAGCAGAGGTGAGCCTAGAGTTCTTGGGCAATGGGGCACGGAGGGAAATCATAATTGCTAACATTTTTGAAGGGCTTTAAACAACAGATTCTTCTCTCCCTATCCTCCACATCTGGAGAAAGGGCAGCCTTCTGTTCCCCAGAGACCTAGGACTAGGGAACAAAATGTCCTAAGTTAAAGGGCATGTCTCAAAATTGGAGACATGGCCACAGACAACTATCCTTGGATATGAGAACTGCCTCATGACTTCTCTTAAACTAAATTAAACCTTCTCTGGGTCCCACTTTCCAATGTGGTATCACAGTCAGCTTCCCTCTCCCAAGGGCTGTGCAAGAGCCTTCCCTCTCCCAAGAGCCAAACTTGTAGAAAACCAGGAAGGGTCTCCAGCTTTCCATCACAATTGTTTCTAAGTTGCCTGTTGCCAAGGCTGGGTGGTCCATGGGCAGCTTTGTTGCTGCCCAGATAACCCTGAGAATAGGGATCCCCTTGAGGGTTTTCTTTTGAGGTTTTTTTTTTTTTTTTGATAGAAAAATTCTTTAATCAAAACAAGTTTACACATTGAAATTTATGGCTTAACTAGAATAAATCTAAGTTAAAACTGTCTAAGGACCCAGGTCCACCACTCGCTGAGTGGCCTCCTCCTGCATCGTGGGCCACCCCAGCAGAGGTCTGGCAGCTCCCAGACTCCACAAGGAAACATGGCTTGTTCTCTGCCACCCTCAGAAACCCCCAAACCCAGCCCTTCACCTTTACTGGGGAAACTCCTCTTTATCCCCTTTTGGGTGGGAGCCTTGTCATTTTCCCCAACTGAAAGGAATCCAGCTTGATCCTCCTGGATAAGCCTGAAACACAGAAGAAATTTGTCTCCTTCATTCCCATACCTTCTCCCTGCCCTGGGGAAGGGGATAATGCAGGAACTTAAAAAAACTCATCATCCAACCATCCAACCATCAGCGGCAGAAGAGCCCTGAAAATCATACAGCCTGGAGCTGCTCATCACAGAAGATAGCAAGGAAGCAGTCAAAGACAAATTTGATTTCATAGAGCCATAAAATGGTCCCGGGAGCCAGAGTGAAGAGGTTCCCACTGGCCAGAGATGTGACAATATGAGTACCAATAAGGGCAGTAGCAGCAGTGGACTGAAATAGGTCAAATATATGTAAATCCATGATTCTATAATGATACTTTTTTAAAGGAACCTAACTGGATATCAATTGAGGCTATCAATTCATACTAATGAATGAATTCATTATTTTGATAACTGACATACATAAGTAAAAGACTAAGCAAGAGATAAAGACAAAAAGAAACTACTGTGCCTCATGTAAATATATCCCAAGATGTTAAAAAAAAAAATTAGAAGAGTGTAGCCTGTAGCGACTGTAGCAGGAAAAGCAGTGCTTTTTGATGATGCACAGGAGAATGAGAAGTCCTCGCTGTGAGCCCTGGTGGTCCGCGGGAGGGTCTCCGTGGGCTGAGGCAGCAGGGTTTCCTAGGAAGTGTTTCTCCAGAGAAAACGCCCTGGTGAAAACCACAAGCAGAAAAGAATGGGATGAACTTGGAATGGAATAACAGCAAGAATATTCCAGAAAACATTTTTTTTTTTTTTTTTTTTGACAGAGTCTCTCTCTGTCACCCAGGCTGGAATGCAGTGGCACGATCTCAGCTCACTGCAACCTCTGCCTTCAGGGTTCAAGTGATTCTCCTGCCTCAGCCTCCTGAGTAGTGGGATTACAGACATGAAACACCACACCCAGCTAATTGTATTTTTTGTAGAGATGGGATTTCACCATGTTGGCCAGGCAGGTCTCGAACCCCTGACTTCAGGTGATCTACCTGCCTCAGCCTCCCGAAGTGCTGGGATTACAGATGTGAGCCACCACACCTGGCCCCAGAAAGCATTTGAGCACTTTCCCAGCCTTCAGTGAACTATGTGACACAATGTCCGGTGATGAAAACAAGATGCCACCCACATGGGAAAGATGAGAACCGAGTCAGGCAACTGAGCTTGGCACTTTGTAGATTTCCAATCTCCTTCGAGGGAGTGAGCTCAGGGTAGTTGTGGGTTGTCCACAAAATCACAGTCTTAAGAAAGGAAAGGTGGAGCGCGACTGCTGGGAGCCAGAGCCAGGACAGAAAGGTGGGAGAGGGAAAGTTAGCTTGAGGAGGAAGCAGAGGCAGAGAGCTCGTGGTAGGAAACGATAGGAAAAAGGCCCTAGCAGATGAATCCCAGAAGGCAGAAGGAGGCATGGCTGAGCTGGGTTGGGTGCAGGGGGCTCCTGGAGAACAGACCCACAGATCTCTGCTTCATAATGTGGGGGCAAGCATGCTAGTAGCAGCCTGGTCTCATGTACACCTCCTGATGCAGAAAGGACGAGGGTGCCCTTCTTCTACTCATGGGTGGACTTGGGCCTGGCCTCAGGAGGCACAGCTGGCCCTACCCAGCCCTTGGCCACAGTCACCATGGAAACTGCACTGGAAAGGACCGAATGACATCAGATTTTGCCTTTCATCTCCCAACACAGGATTTTAGAATGCAGAGAGCAGCTACTGGTCTTCTCTTATTTTAATGCCAGCTGAGCAGCACAGAGGTCCCTGGAGGCCCTTTGAGCTCCTCTGGGCTCACAGGAACAAGTGTGTGGGTCATCTCCCTGAGCCAGCCTCTGCTGCGAGCCTTAGCTTTGACCCCTTGATCTATTCTTATTCATTCAGCTGAAGGAGGTTGCAGGTGCTGGGTCAGGCAACAGGGACAGGAAGATGAGTAGGAGACAGATCCTGACCCAAAGAAGGATGCAGTTGAGTTGGAGAAACAAATGCATAAATAAGTCATTATAAACCCATGTGGCAAGGGCATGGGACACCCAACCCACAGCAATTTGCTCAGTAAAGTAGGTGACAGAGTGGGCAACAGTGGGGTGAAGGGCCTGAAGAAAGTGGTGAAGGCGTGGATGGTCATTGAGGGGAATCAGTCAGAGGACCAGGTCAGGTGGCTGCTGGGTGGACCAAATGCCTCACTGAGGCTGGACCCCAGGCCAATCTACAGGCCATGTGATTTTTCTCCAGCAGGGCTCAGCTATGAAGGCATATTGCGGAGGCTGCAGTCAGAAGGTGAAGCATTGGAAGTGAAGATTTCAGAAGAGGAGATGCTCTGGGAATAAAGGCAGGGTCCAGCACATGCCCTGGCATAGGCAGCAGACCAGGAGCTGAGGCAGGAGTCACAGGAATTACAGAGGCACAGGGATTCCCCCCTGTTATAGGACAGGTGGTGCCTGCAGACACTGCTGTCGCCCGCAGACACTGCTGTCACAGGACTGAGGGGGTTACGGCAGGAGTGGAAAGGAGAAGGTAAGCCATATTCCACCTCTCTGAGGAATGGATTCCCTTCTCTCAGCCCAAGTCCCCTCGTGGTGCAGCAGAGATGATAATACCCAGGGCACACTGTGTCCCCTTCCCTCCTCCCACACTGTCCCTGGCTTACCTCTCAAGATCATGCCAGAGAGTCAAGCATTGCATGGAACGCACGTACACCTGGCTCAGGAGTCTCGCCAGCTCAGAGATAAATTTGGGCTTTGAGCCATGATTGAATGCTGGTTCCAGTAAGAATTCAGGGTGTGTTATTGCATCAAGTAAAATAATGAGTGCTCTTAAAGCAAATCATGAGGCAGAAAGGCACACTGCGAAGGGGGTGAGTTGAAAGGCTTTGCCCTTCCCCTCCTCTCCTTGGGTGAACATAGCAAAGTGCTCTCTCCTTGTGCACAGCTGGTAGCCTTTTTAGATGCTGAGCAGGCATCTAGTCAAGCCATTTCCTGCCAGGACAAATGACAAGCACCCCAAAAGGAGAACTTAGGGGAGCTCCAAGTCTCCTCTTTAAGGATAGACATGTTGAGAAGGACTCAACATGACTCCCAACCTCTCCCCAACCACATGACTGCAGCTGAAAGAACAACCTCAGCCCAGCCCTCCCTCTCTACCTCAGCCCCTCCCCAGGCAGGCAGAGTCCCAGGAGGCTGAAAGCAGGACTAACTGTGTCCTCGTGTCCTCCTTAGCAGTGAAGAGGCAAGACTGGTGGGGTCTGCTTCGGCTTTGGCACCAGGAGACCTGGATTTAAATCTCAGCCCTCCTACTTCCTGCTGTGTGACCTTGGGCAGCTCACTCAGCCCATCTGAGCCTCAGCTTCCTCTTCAGTAAGGCAGACAATGTGGCATTGTGGTTGAGGCCAAGCACCAGAGTTACACTTTACACTTCTGGAGCCCAGATTCTGGTTTTGCCACTTCCTAGCTGATAGCCAGCTCCTCCCCAGTTCCGAAGCGCAGCCTTGCAGGCATTCACCACAACCACGTGGCTAAACGACGGTGGCTGCCGGCAGCCTGCTCTCCCCACAGCCACTCTCGGCCCATCCTGGACCAACTGGTCACTAGGTGCCTGGGTGCAGTGTCTGGCTTCTCCACCACCCCCCCACCTCCCTTTTCCAACGTTCAGTGGAACTGCATGTGGGCTACATGGCCTTCCTTTTCTGTCTTCAGCCACTCACAGATTCTGCTTCGATTTTCATCTTCGTTTGGATCTCATCAAGCTCTCCTAAATTCCTCCTCCTGATTCTGATTTTTCTTTCTTTGGTACCATTTAACCACATGCTTTCATGCGATAGAGCAATTTGTATTCATGGCCCTCTCCTCACTGGGCTAATTTAACAGCTCTGTGGAAACATGGGAGTGTAGTTTGCTCTTCATTGCCTCCTCCAGAATGCCTTCCACAAATGAGTTATCTGTAAGGCAACCACCGAGATATGAGATCTTTTTCTCTAGCATGTGTAATCATCTCAACTGCTTTACTGAAATATCATTTACATAGCATCCGATGGTTTTTAATAAATTTACAGAGTTGTGCAACCATCACCACGATCCAGTTTTAGAACATTTCCATCACCCCAAAAAGATCCCTTGTGCCCATTTGCAGTCACTCCCAGTTCCAAGTCCCAGTCCCAGGCAAATTTTAATCATTTTTACTAAAAAAACCATAAGCCCTTATTTCCCCCAAATGTTTTGCTCTTAGAAGTAAAGCTGCATGAACACTCATACAGGGAGATTGTAACACCTATCTCTGCTCATTTCTCCCAAACTTGCTAAAGATTTGGGGAAGGACCAAGTGTCTGACCTGAGCCCCACATTCCGCAGGTGACATGTGCATTGATGAGTGCCACCCCTAAGACCACATAGCCCATAGCAGGGCAGGAACTGGAACCCACCGGTTTCCCACCCCCAGCAATGGTCACTTCACCCACTCTGACCCCTCAACTCAGAGACAAATTCGTTAACTGAGTGTAATTAATTTAGTTTGCTTTTTCTAGCCATCACTTCTCCCTTCTCACACCCCTTCCTCAGTGGAAGTGCTAATTGGAATTGAGCGGCTCAGAGACAAATGGCAAATAAGGGGGTGGAAAAGAAAGTTATGAAACTGCACATCAGGCTGGGCATGGCGGCTTATGCCTGGAATCCCAGCATTGTGGGAGGCTAAGGCAGGAGGATCACTTAAGCCAAGGAGTTTGAGACTGGTTTGGGCACCATAGCAAGACCCCCACCTCAACAAAAACTAAAATTAAAAATTAACCAGTGGGACTACCCCTGTAGTCCCAGCTACGCAGGAGGCTGAGGTGAGAGAATTTGTTGGGCCCAGGAGTTCAAGGCTGCAGTGAGCTATGATCACACCACTGTATTTCAGCCTGGGTGATATAATGAGACCTTGTCTCAAAAAAAAAAAAAGGTAGGTGGGGCTCATAAGTCATTCCCCCAACTTCTCATGCAAGGAAGGAGCAGTCTTCTTGGCTTCTCTGACTCCACAGGGAAGGTGGGGGTATCTCCTAGGGTCCAGGAACTCACTGATTGAAGCTCTTCCTGTCTTTCTTCTCTGGGTCCAGCAACCCTTTTCCTCCAATGCGCCCTCCAGTGCCATGAACACATTCTTCCGGATGTACTTATTTGTGAATAGGAGACTTGGGAGCCAGAAAGCTCAGGGGTCGGACGGGAGTAGGGGATTCTAACACCACCATTCACTAGCTGTGTGACCTTGTACCTTCCTAACCCCTCTGGGCCTTGGTGTACTCATCTATAAGTAGAACCAGAGTTGCCTACCTCAAAAAACTTGCTTGAGAATTCAATAAAATGGTGTAGGCAAGACATTAGGTTCAAAGTATGTGATCAATAAATGGGGAGTTTTAATTAACACCCTTCTTACATTGTGGCCCCAATAACGACTCTCTGAATACGCATATAGGAGGCATCCCTCTCCCGCACATGGCACTGCAGAACTCTTTCCTTCTGTCGTGACCTGGAGTGTTGGACCACCTCACATGGTTTCCTATCCCTTTTGGGAAACTGTTGCCCTACTCTGTAGACGTAGTTAGTCATGTGTTTTTAAAAAGAAACTCCGGTGGCAATGCAAGGAATAGATTGTAAACATGGAAGCTAGGGGCCAGGAAGCCGAGTGAGAGATCATGAGACATTCTGGCAAACCATGAGAAGGGCCCCAATGGGAGGGGCAATGGGAGAAGCTGCAGAGACCAGACTTGAGAGATGCTGAGGAAGCACAGTCAGTGGAGCATGGCGAGTGACGGACGTGGGACGGGCACAAGTTACTCAACCTCTCTCTCAGGAATAATACCTGCCTCACAACACTGCTGGGAGGCTGGGTGGCCATTCACTGAAATATTAACTAAGTGCATGCAACGTACCAGGCTCTGATCCTGATGCCGGGAATACAGCCTAGAACAAGACAGGAGCCCTGCCCTCTTGCTGCTTATAGTCAAGATAGGGTCATGTCTTTGAAGAGACTGACCCGTGGTAGGCACTTAATAAAGGGTAGCTGTTGTTATTACCACTAATAATACATTTAAATATTAAATAAACAGGTCTCTGCTCTGTTTCAGCCACCTAACATCTCTTCTCTTTCCGCATGGTGTGACATGGTGATGACACAGTAAACGTCTCCATCTATGCTTTCACTATAGACACCCAAGTGATTCCTGGAGACTCTGCCAGCAAGGTTCTTCCTCTACCCACCACAGTACCAGAGTAAACTAGAACCATGCTTGAACATATGGGTTCTCTCTCTCTAGGGACTTTGGATCTTGAGCAAGTGACCACACGGGCAGAAGCAACAGAATTAATTCATTCAAGCGTGAAAAGCCTGGCCCGGACTATTTCTGCCACAAGATTCTCCTTTCCAGCTTGGCTATCTGTAAGTTTGGGAAGTCAATCTACCAAGTGACTGTTGACATCTCCCTCCAGGAGAATTTCAGTCATTGTTACTGTTTGGTACAGTGCTTTGGGAAGTAACAGATGTGGTAAATGAACTGAAATGACATCAGAAAAAAAGATACAGTTTCACTTAACTTTTGTCCAGCTTCCATTTCTACTTTCTGTCCTTTCGTTGGAACTCAAGTACACAGAACTGGACTGAGTGTCGTCCTTGGTTTATGACACATCCTCACTATTGGCCTATACATGCCTTGTTTTTACTTAGTTATTTTAAATAATATAAGCACCTGTGAACGCATCAGATCGGAACAAAAGCTAGGATCCTGACAGTAACCTTGACATATGGTCCCACCCCATCACACCCTCTTGACTCCACCTGACCAAGATAATCATTCTCAATCCTCTGTCCATCAACCCCGTGCCTTCCGTTTAAAGTAAGTTCTATTGGATCTATGTGTGCTTCTAAAAGATATGTTTTCATAAGATTTTAGTTACTTTAAACATTTTAAAAAGGATATGAGGCTGGGCGTGGTGGTTCATGCCTGTAATCTCAGCACTTTGGGAGGTCAAGGTGGGCAGAGGGCTTGAGCCCAGAAGTTCGAGACCAGCCTTAGTAACATGGCAAAACCCCATCTCCACAAAAAATACAAAAAAAAAAAAAAATTGCCAGGTGTGGTGGCATGTCCCTGTAGTCCCAGTACTCAGAAGAGTGAGATAAAAGGACCACCTGAGCCCAGGGAAGTTGAGGCTGCAATGAGCCATGATCATGCCATTGCACTCCAGCCTGGGCAACAGAGTGAGATCCTCTTTCAAAAAAATAAAAAAGGATATGATATGATATTGCATGTAGGTTTTTCACCAAATATTATATTGCTAAAATTATTCATACTGTTGTTTAGGGTTGAGTTCATTCATTTTTTTATTGCTGGATAATATTTTGCTGTGTAAATAGACCACAATTATCCATTCACTTTTCCATTAATGGACGTTGAGTTATTTTTAGGTTTTTCTTTGTGAAAAACGCTGCTCAGAGTGTTTTTATTCAAATCTCCTGTTTTATGTGCATGAGAATTTCTCTTGAAAATAAACCTAATGGTGGAATTGCTGGGTGATAGAGTATGTGAATGTCCACTCTTAAAGGAGAAGGCAAGCTCTTTTCCGATGTGTTTCACAAACATACATCCCTGTCAGTATAAGAGGTTTGGTAACTCTACAATCTGATCAAAGCATCACGTTGTCAGACTTTTAATTGCCAATTTAACAGAAATAAACACAAATTTTCCGATGACCCTGATAGGTACAGCGTCAGTGATCAAATGTTTCTTCCCTCCAGGATGTCAGTTCCCTGGCACTTCTCCATCCTCGATACCACTGCCTGGATCTGATCAAGTTTCTTGACCAAAATAACAGCTAAAAAGAAAATACAGCATGTGGGCGAACAAGTTAAATGGCATCACAGGAAAGCATTTATCTTAATCCAGAATGTGGAGTATTCTACTGGACAGATCACTTAGGTTCTCTAGCAAACTATAGGCATGGAAAAGAAGAGAGTGGGCCACTACAGACTGCAGGAATGGAGGCATCTTAAGAGACTTAATTAAATGGCCGTGTAGACTTTGACACCTGATTTGGACAAACTGACTGATAAAAGATAATGACATAAAGACAATTAAAATAGTTTATGCTAGGTGTGATTATGGCCTGGTGGTTTTTATATACGTATGTTCATTATTAATTCAAAATGACTGAAGGTATTTGTGCATTTATAACTGAAATGTGAGATATTTAAAATTTGCTTTCAGACACTCCAGTGAACAAATGATTGAGCATCAAAAATGAGTAGAATAGAGAAAACAAGATTGGCTAAAAGTTGATAATTGTTGAAGTTGGGTAACAGACAGATACATGAAGTTTCCTTACGATTCTTTCTCTCTTTTTTGTATATGTTTGACTTTTTTTTCATCACAAAAAGTTAAAAAAGAAAAGTGAAAAAAGCAATATGTGCACAGGTGGTAGCTATCAGTGTCATGATTATCATTACATCATCATCAGACCCTGGTTGAGGGCTCAGGATGAGGCAGGTGGCATCCTATTCTCCAAAGGCCAGGCCATGTGCCAGCCAAGATGGCCAGCCTAATGCTAAGCAACACCTGGGACATCTTTGGGGAAGAGAACCTGTCTTCCACTGGCCAAGGATCTCAGCCCTGAGGGGAGAGGGGAGGATGTGACCGTTAATACTGAGGGTCAACTTGATGAGATTGAAAGTTTCAAAGTATTGATCCTGGGTGTGTCTGTGAGGGTGCTGCCAAAGGAGATTAACATGTGAGTCAGTGGGCTGGGAGAGGCAGACCCACCCTTCATCTGGATGGGCACCATCTCATCACCTGCCAGCATGGCCAGAATAGAAAGCAGGCAGAAAAACATGAAAAGGCGAGACTGGCCTTGCCTCCCAGCCTACATCTTCCTCCAGAGCCGGATGCTTCCTGTCCTCAAACATCAGACTCAGCTTTGGGGCTCCAAGTTCTTCAGCAAAGACTGGCTTCTGCTCCTCAACTTGCAGATCGCCTACTGTGGGACCTTGTGATAATGTGAGTTAATATCATTTAATAAACTTCCTTTTATATATGTGTGTGTGTGTGTGTGTGTGTGTGTGTGTGTGTGTGTGTATCCTATTAGTTCTGTCCCTCTAGAGAACCCTGACTAGTACAGAGAGGAAGGAGAGTTTGGTACAAAACAGGGAGCTGGCAATAGTGAGGAAAGTCCTTCTCCCAAGAACGACTGACACTCAACAGGTCATAAAGATTTCATCATGCTGGGCATGGTGGCTCACACCTGTAATCCCAGCACTTTGGGAGGCTGAGGTAGGCAGATCACAAGGTCAGGAGGTAGAGACCATCCTGGCCAACATGGTGAAATGCCATCTCTACTAAAAATACAAAAAACTCGCTGGGAGTGGTGGCATGCACCTATAGTCCCAGGTACTTGGGAGGCTGAGGCAGGAGAATGGCTTGAATCCAGCAGGTGGAGGTTGCAGGGAGCTGAAATCATACCACTGCACTCCTGCCTGGATGACAGAGCAAGAAAAAAAAAAAGATTTCATCACTAAATCAGGTTGCAAGGGGAGCCCTGGGCTCAGGAACTGCAGGAGCAGGCTCCAGACTCAAGATTCAGGTTGAAGGGGCCCCTGCTGCACTGGCACCCCAGAGGCTGGGCTGTGCTCTGGACATCCCTGAACCCAGGACAGGACCCACTAATTCCAGAGGGCAGGGCATGGCAGGAGCCTATGAGGGGGACAGAGCAATACACAGGGGAAGGGTTAGAGCACTGAAGACCACAACTTACGTGAACTTTCTTATTCGCAATGTTTTACTCAATGTTTTAAATGACTTCCTATATCATTGAATATGTAGTAGAATAAATTTGTTATATATGGGTCTTAAAGTTCCATTAGTGATCTGTGTTCCATTAACAATCTGTTTGCATAGCTTCTTGCAACATGATATGTTCCCAGCTTTTTAAAAGTAGAAATGCCTCCAGCCAGGAAAAGAGGCACGTGGCTCAGCACCCCACATCTTCTGAGCAGCCAGGCTGGTGGTCTCAGTGCTGGGGTCCTGAATGTATAGGATAAGAAGCTGGTTTGGACGTGCCTCACGTGCTGATAATATCATAAGAGACGAAATAATTTGGGGACTTAAATTGCCCAGCTGCAAGATGACAGTCTAGGTCACTCTAAATGAAGTGGTTCCCTTTGCCTGTTCAAACTTTGGGGCCACTGTGAACCCTAAAGGTGGCGACAGGGAGTGCTCACACCAGCCTCCTCCGGTTCTTGGCTTGGAGCACCTGCCGTGTCATGGTGGATGGCGAAATGACCCTATTCCTTCCAGCCCAAGGAAACTACCTAAACCTAAACATTTTTTTCAAACTTCCATTGGAAAAAAAGATCTTTATTTTTTTTTTAATGCCAAAATACTATAATACAGACAGGTCATTTCTCATCATGAAAGGCATGCTCTTGGTTGGCTAATCTGTCCATTGCGCAGCTCCCACTGTGGCTGAGGACTGACTTGAACACAGTTGTCTCCCAAAGAGATTGCCAGTGTGCCCAAGGCAGCTTTCTCTTCCGCAGTGTTGAGCCAAACAGCCAGCAGTGGGGACTCTCAATGTTTGCTGACAATCATGGTATTTCAAAAGCGGTGATAAGGGCCCACAATTTGCTCTGTGGTTCAAGCTTGAACGGTTATTAAGGAATGAATGTTTAGCCCGTCATGCATCCTTCCACCCTCCTCCAGGGTCCCTCTCTGCTTTCTCACTCCTTCCTTTCCCTCTATCTGTATCTATGTGTGCTGGTGGGAGTCAGGAGAGGGAGGATGTCCACCTCACACACCGTTTTTTTTCACTGCCCTTGCCTTTTCTTCTTTCCTATTCCCACTTTTATCTCCTTAAACTATAGTAAAAGATATCCCTGCCCTGCCCTGCCCTGCCCTGCTCTGCTCTGCTCAAGAGAATCTTCCTGGTCTGGGGTTTGCTGGGGCAGAATGCATGGGTCACCCATCACCTCACACTGTCTTCCTATGATGCGGAGACTCCCTTGCCCCTGTCCCTATTCCCTGAACAGACCCTGGGATACTGGCCTCCTGAGAGCATGTGCCTGGGGCTGATATAAAGAAAAGGAGGGCTAAGTGAGCTGGCCAATGTCCAGCTTTCCTCTGGGGTCGGGGCAGCCTGGGGCTCAGCTATGGTTCTCTGCCTGTGATATGAAGGGCTGGCGGCCACGCTCTGCTGTGAGCCTTAGGACCGGTGCATGCCTTATACACTGCTCCATCCTGGAAGTGCTCAGGCAGCAGGTGTGTGTTCCCGGGACCTGCCTGTGGCATGACACCCACACTCACTGAACCACATCCTGCTTTCCTCTCCTGCCTCTCTTTGTTCTTCCCCCAACCCCAACCCAAACCCCCACTGCCTTTTGACAACAAGGTCCTTTTCTTGGGTACAGAGGGACGGCGGGGTCACCGTGACAGCATCACACGCCTCAGAAACTCCTGCACAGCCCACTGAGGAGACGTCTTAGGGAAACCTTGGCATCTCCATTCATGGAGGCACCCTCCTGAGCTTTCCAAAGCTGTAGATCAGAGCCAATGTGCTCTTGACAGAGTTCCCTGGGCACTGCCATTAGGCCATGGTGAGGAGTGGGAGAGAGCCAGAGACACAGCTGGGGACGCCGGGATTTGGGACAGTCCTCAATGACAGGCCAAAGAAATCAGCAAACCTCCAAAGGCCCTGTACTTTCCACATCGAGCTGTTTTACTGCCTCTTCCTGGTTTGCTGAGCAGTTTGCAGATAAATGGGTGGCAGCCTCCAGGGCTGGAGCTAATCCTGCTCTCTACCCGGGTGAGCTTCTGCCCAGCATTAACTGGGGGCTAATTAATGTCTCTAAGGAGAGGCTTTCAGGCTTCCATGCGGATTGAAGGATCACTCCAGCAGGCAGCTACAATGCCAGAGTTGGCCTGGCCCGGGCCTGTGATGAAGTCAGTGGGCCCTTCATGACGCCAGCAGTTTCCACCAGAGCCAGGCCTGGCTCAATGAGCAGAGAAAGTCAAATCACGCACCCTCCTGGGAAGTGCACAGCCCTGGCCTCAGGAGCGCCCCCTGCAACATCCATGCATGAGGGAGCCCACAGACTCACACCCGCAGGGTCAGGCTCCCCCTCTCGCTAGGCTGAGGCTGGCATTTCCTGGCAGAGGAGCTCTCAGGGAAGTCATAGAATCTTGGAGTTTCCATCAGAGGCGGCCTAGGGCGCAGTCCCGTGTCTGACCCCCTGCATCACACCTGTATTCCCCTGCATGGAAAATACAGGGAGGGCTTTAGAGAGATGACAAAGAGGCAACAATAGAGGAAGGCAAATGAGAGATGGGAGGGAACCATGGCGGCGCCTCTGCTCTCTGGCCAGATGGCAATGCCACATCATGCCTCCACGGGAGCTCCAGGGCCTGGCCGTTCCCCTCACCTTCTACCTCCTCGAGCAAGGCCAGAGCTACCCTTCCCTCTCACTCCCTGGGCAGAGAAAATGCCATCAGGAGACCCAAGTTCCTGCCTCCACTATGGGTGAGTGACCTCGGGTGAGTCACATCCCTGCTCTGGGCTTGGTCCCATCTCTGTTAAATGGTGGAGGGATCACTAGTTGCTCCCACATACTGACACCTCCATGCTGGCCTGAAGGACTGGCATGGAGGAGAAAGGTAATGAGTTCCTTCACAGGGCAGAGGGCTTAGCCGGAACACCCAGCAGTCCTCTGCCCCGCCCCTGTGGGTACCATCAAGAATGAGTGTCCATCAGGTCCCACCCACACTCTTTAGCCTACACCCAGGTCCCCAGACCCGCATCCCACCAGCCACACCCTTGCCTGGTGCTCCAAATGCCCTGCTGGTCTGGTTCACTCTGCCCCAGCTGCCCCACCCAAACCAACCCCTGCTCCTTTCCTTACCCTTTACATCGCACTGGTTTTCTTCAAGGCACATTTCACTGCAGATACCACCAAACCTGGGCATCTGCCTGCTGTCTGCCTCTCTCTCCCTGACAGCAGGGTCTGCCTTGATCACTGTGGCACACAGTAAGTGCTCAATATATACTATTGAACAAGTGAATGCGTTAGTGTGCTACCACCCTGTTTTTGCTCCCACAGCTTCCCTGACTGCCCTCCCTTCTTCCCTTCCATCCGTGCTCTTCACCCCTTCAGATCCCACCTCCCTTGCCTCTGGAAGCTTCCCTGAGCAGCCACCTCCCTGCTTGGAATCCTCTTGCTCTAGCACCTGCAGTGCCAGGGGTTCAGCTGGCCTCCTGCTGAACCCCTGGTGGGAGCAGAGTGCCGGGGACACAGGCGTGCTCAGGATGTCAGCCCCAGGGCCAAAGGTTGGGACACACAAAGAAAACCAAATGGCACACACATAATTGGCATGGAGGGAAAAAAATCTGCTCTTTCTCAAAGCCTCCAGCCCACAGAACTCCATGTGTCCCTTCCGGGTACCACAGATGCTTAGTGACAGCCAAGATCTGTCTTGCAGAAGCAGGAACCAGAGAGTATTTCTGGCCCAATTAAGCATGAGCGCTTGACAAGTAGGAAATGCAGCCTCACCTCTTCGCGTTTCTAATGTGGGAAACATACAGGCTCTGTGCCTCTGCGCCGTCTCGCTCACCTTCCTGCAGGTGCGTCACACCAGGGGCACGGCAAATCCGCAGGTAACAGGGAACAGTACTGGGCGTGATGAGAGGTGTCTCTAAAGCAATGTGGCTGACTATCGTGTTGACTTGTGGCATCAGTCTTGGCAATACATATGAGTACTGTTTGCAAATGATCAATATTAGAAAATCAATCAATCATCTCCATTTCAAAAGCATGAGGACTCTTCTCTTCACCATTCCTATTTATAGCATTGGGTTTATAAGTGCAAACAACGCTGGCAGTAATAAGGCTTCTATTCTTTCTTCTTCCAGGCTTGGCAGATTGTGTGCTGTCAATTTCAGCAGGGAGACCAGATTTGAGACATGATCTCCGGTTCAACACGAGATAGGTCGTTGGATGGAAACTCAGATTAGCTATTAGATAGTCTATTAAGCTGCATGCACTTGAAGAACTCCTAAATCAAGCATATCTACTCTCACATAGGGGGCCCATTGGAAACAAGCCCTGTTCAGGGCAGTAAATGTCTGACTCACTTTGAGAAAGAAACCGCAAGCAAGCAGCTTGAGCCCAGCGCCCAGAGAGCCTGCCCTCCCATCTTCCCTGTCTTGGCTGGATCCTGCCCTGCCCTGGTCACTGGGAGGCCTGTTCTTGTCCTGTGGGCATCCAGGTCCAGGCTCAGGGAGCCCTGCTGTCCCACCCCACCCTGTGAGCTGCCTCTGCCCCAAAGGCCCCTCCCTGTGGCAACAGCCCCTTGCCTTCATGTAGGCACAGGCCTGGTATGGCTCAGGCCCTCCTTTCTCTTGATCTCTCTATGGAAATATAGGAAATGGGCCATTATAGTTAGGAGTGTCTGCACGTGAGAAAGGTGAGGTGCTGGTGGATGAGAGGGAAGGGGGGTGGAAATCTGCAAATACCTTGTTCATTTATTTAAGCTCCACGTAGTACTTTGCATATAGCTGGTGGTATTCATTTCTGAATCCGTGTCTAGCACAATGTATGTCACAGGTAAGTTCCAGGAGGAGCTGGGGCTGAATATGAGCATGGTCAGGTAGGTGAGGGAAAAAAAACAGCTTGGGCCATAAGAGTCAAACTAATTACAATATTATTAGCTACCATTAATTAAGGGCTTCCTCTATGCCAGGCATTTTACAGACTTTGAACAGCTGAACCCTCATAGGTCCCCAGTGAAAGAAGCATTATCAGTGCCACATTTCCGATGGAGAAACTAAGGCTCGCAGGGGTTCAGCAACATTCCCAAGGTCACACAGCTTGTGCCACAGCCAGCTGTCAAACTCAGAATAGTCTGACCTCAGCACCTGAGTTCTTGGCCATCATATACTTCTCTTCCTTCCCTTCCTCTCCTCTTAGAAAGAGCAAATGGGGGGGTTCCCTCTCTTGACTTTGGAGCCCCCCTCCCTCTGCCTCTGTATGGGGAAGCTTCTATCTTCTGCTTTCTCCCCTTTTTCTTGCCTATTAAACTCTCCACTCCTTAAAACCACTCCACGTGTGTCCACGTGGTTTTTTTCAGTTCGATGTGAGACAAGAGCCCTGCTGTTCCTCCACCCATCGGAGCCGTATCATTTTCAGTCATCAGACTGGTGAGCATGGAGCAGATTTCAACTTTTAATCTGTCCTTTAATCTCAAGGCTCTCTTCCAGCTACCGTGTCACCAAACTTTCCTTCTCTTTGTATCCGCGGTCTCTATCCTCTCTCTGTGTGTCTAATGTGCAGGAATCTTTACAGTTCAGGGAAACAGGTTCATCAGAAAAGATGGCAGATTGCAGCAGGCAGTAACTCAACAGCTTTCTCTATGGTTTCTCCGGTGAGCACATGGTATTTCTAAGCCACCTAGCAGAAATCAGGCTCTAGGCCTCTTCTGAGAATGGGAAGTTTCTGCTTTTGACAGTTAGGAGTAAAATGTCTTCAGCAGGCCAATTTTAGTCCTCATATTGTCCCACCAGTGGGGAAACGGCCATTCGATTCCTACATTCTTTCTTTTTTTTTTTTTTTTTTTGACAGAGTCTTGCTCTGTCACCCAGGCTGGAGTCCAATGGTGCAATCTCGGCTCATTGCAACCTCAGCTTCCCAGGTTCAAGCCATTCTCTTGCCTCAGCCTCCTGAGTAGCTGAGACTACAGGCACGTGCCACCACGTCCAGCTCATTTTTTGTATTTTTAGTAGAGATGGGGTTTCACAGTGTCAGGATGGTCTCGACCTCCTGACCTCGTGATTCACCCGCCTCGGCCTCCCAAAGTGCTGTGATTCCAGGCATGAGCCACCTTGCCCTGCGATTTCTATATTCTTTTAAGGCATCTATTTTGTCTCCAATTAAGATAGTACTTAATTAGCAAGGAAATTTTAATTTTGGAAGTTAACCAGAACTGTTTTAGGGTAAGTGCTTTAGCACGTGCCATAATAGCGGCAATCTAGCACATTGCCTCCGTTAAAGGAGCCTTGCCAAAGACAACACAGTCTCTCCAGAGATTGGTTTTTCTGGGAGCCAAGAAAACCACATGGGTTCTAGGAAGTCAAAGGGAAATCACACAATGCGGGTAAACTAAGGCTGTGTGGGTCCGCGTGGTTAGCCCCATCACTTAGTTCATCTGGTCCCATGGCTTGGAGGACCACACCTACAACCAGGGGGGGGGGGCACATTTAAGAAACTTCTGGAATCCAGAAACCTGGAGGTAAGACATTCAGGGGATGCTCCTTGTCCTCTCCACTCTGGGTCATACGGAAAGGAAGGGGACTAAGAGGATGCTTTTATTCTTGCTTCTTTTTCTAAATGGGCAATAAATTATGTTCAGCTTGCACCCCTCTGGAGTGCACCCTGAAAAACTGAAGCTTCCTTAACCTCAGAACCTCAAAGAAAGCAACTCATTTTCCTTTGCACAAGAGCATGGCATTCCTACCAAACCTCTGCAAGTGTTGTAACGTCAAGCCAGCTATTTTAGGAGCCATATTGGGCAGGCCCAGAGAAAACAGTTGCCCAAAATTTTAAAAAGTAACTTTCAGAGGAATCATCTGAGGGTCCTCCTTATTTGAGGCTCTTCAAATTCCCTTCTCATTGCAGGACCTTAGGCAAGCAAAGAGAAACTAAGGCTAATTTTCCGACGACCCTGATAGGTACATAGAAGCTTTCCAAAATATAACTCAGGTATTTGATGTCACACAGAGGGATGTTATGTTGCTGCTAAGTCAAATCCTCACTGCAGCTAAAACAGGCAGCTCTGCAAGCAGAAGAGAATTTTGGAGATAAGCAATATGTCTCCTATAGTAAGCCAAAAGGAAAAAGAAAAAAAAAATAGAGAAGGTATTGGCGAGACCAGCTCCCAGTATATCAACGTGAGTTTAAGATCTCTCAAAGTGACTGAGTGGTTAGTGAAAAAGAAGGAAAGAGAGACAAGGAAAAAGTTTTCCTTAAAGCTGGGCCCAGGGGAGACATCACCTAATGCTGCTCTGTGGAAGTCTGACATTCCCCTGAAAACCTCAGTTTTTTATTATGCTCTTTCAATAGGGGAGGGGGAGTGAGCTTACACAAAGTTTCAGTCATAATTATACAAAAAAAATACATCTCAAAAACTGTGGCACAAAAATCACAATGTGGTGTTATAAAAGCAGAACAACGTAAAGATAACTTTCTGTGTGTCAGCATAGAAATCATACACCTTAGCAAGAACAGGTTAAACATAAACTTATGATTATCAGCAAGAATACACTGGGCTCACAGCTGCAGGGGGAACAGGATCTGACACAGGACAACCAGCCTGACCACAAAAACTGCAAGAGGAGGGGCCCATGCAGGCCTGGGGGAGCAGTAGGAGAAGAAAGACTTTTACATCCTTAACCACAGAGACAGACGCCCCTCATGCGTCCACTTATAGGCTCTCCATAAGGGTCGCATTCCCTTTCCAGGGCCATAATCAATATGCCTTTCCTGGGAAAGCAATCTAGGTAGCAGGCCTCTCCATTACACGTCCGCTTATAGGCTCTCTGCCACGAGAAGCCCGTTATGTGCTGTCTTCTCTCTCTGGCAGTCAAGCTATGTGGTTAGTCCCTTTCACAGAGTTCCTGTTTTTATCAGAGCAGCTCAGCACAGCCAGAGTTACAAGATTTACCTCAGCAGAGCCAAAGTCACAAGTCACATCTCAGCATTTCACATTATTCTTCATTTTCTGAAATATAATCGATACAGTAAGTAACAAGCATCACAAAGCAAATAACTCATTTCGGGGAAACCAAATTCTAAGAGAATTTGCATGTTAAAAATCAACAACAATTTCTTCCTGTTATTGCAGCTAGCTCAGGTTTTGCCAATTCTCCCAGAAGCCTGGGGTTGCTCAGTCACCACAGAGGGGTCCAGAGTATTGCCAGCAAGAAGGCAAAGAAGTAAGGGCAACACCATTCCTAACAGGAAGAGCGGCGGTCCCTTTTAAGAACCCTAACTGGAATTCCCTTCCATGGTGTTTTTC